ATTTAGCTATTTTTATTCTTAAACTATCTGTATGGGCTCATGTTCATGACCAAATGTAAAAACGTAAAATAGAAAAATCTTTAGGAAACAACAAACTTGTTTGTCTTAAAGTTAAATTTTTAGACATTTTCTGCAGTTTGATTTGTTCACTCAGGTGACATTAATTTACTAACAAACAGTATTTCTGCCACTCAGACTTCAGTTTAAATAATGTGGATATTTTTAAAATGCTGCTGTTAAAATGGTTATTTTTCTCTTCCAGTGTTCATGAGGTGCACAGGAGGAGAGGTCGGAGCCACCTCAGCCCTGGCCCCCAAAATTGGACCCCTGGGTCTGGTGAGTTTTTGRGTCTTTGTGATTCGATGGAGCCTCCCGCCACTATACCAGTCTCTGTGGCTGAGTRGAGTCCAGTGGAGGCTCAGAGCGACCCGGCTTTAGGAAACAGAACTGCCCACATCAATGGACGGTTCTGTGCCGATAAGTTCGGAACACAAACCCAGCTGTTCTGACAGAACCGGGTTTTCATTTAATGACTCTGTTTTTATTCTCCTCAGTCTCCCAAAAAGGTTGGTGACGACATCGCCAAGGCTACTGGAGACTGGAAGGGTCTGAGGATCACCGTGAAGCTGACCATCCAGAACCGTCAGGCTGCTGTGAGTCCAGCACCGCTCACTGGACACAATCAGTTCAACTTTAATAAAGTGCTTTGGTTTAAAATACTTACACCGTCTTTAGCCCCGTGCAAAACAGCTTTTTATGTTTTCTATTTAACTTCTTTTGAACCTGGACATGTTTGGTATCAAAAGAAAACTAAAAGCTCATGGAAACTATTTTTACATTCAAACAGTTCAAACGACAAGTGGTTAAATCAGAAAGTAAACAAACTGTACAACATGGCATCATTGCAAATCTGTAAAAACATCACAACCAATCTGTGAAAACATCACAACCAATCTGTAAAGGAAAAAAAGAATTGACTTTTTTTACAGCGAGTCAAAGAAGATACCAAAATATGTTGTAAGATGTGTTGAGGTGTTTTTTCCTTGATTTTTTGATTTTAAGTGATTATGATCCAACTGAAGTCAAATACTATTTCTCATTTTATATATATCACATCACACACCACACACACTCTTGGTTTCAGGCAGGTAAAAAAAATAAATAACCTTTGGAAATAAAAACTTCAGATTTGTTAACATTTATTAATGTTTCCATCATGGTCTGTCCTGTGCAGAATGACTAAACACTAAATTATTTCTTTACTAAAACCTCTGTAACTTTGCTCCAGTTYATTTTAGCAGCATGAATCTTTGTACAGGTGATGTTCACAGGTGGATTTATGGTTTCTAAGAGTTTTTAGCCTGATTCATTATGGTTTTAAATGGGTTATATACTGTTTAATGATAAGATTATTCATGTGAGAGGGCAAAAAAACATGTTCCATCCTCAATATCTCTAAAACCACAGCAGCTGTTTTAATACTTACACTTCTAATAAAATCTCCCAAGTGTTGCTTTATTTTGATACAAAGATTATTAAAGTAGAGTTTAAATGCTGAGATACACTCTGTTACATTTCAGTCTGGTATTTTCAGCTTTAAAAGAAAAAACCCTTGATGAATAAGAGGTTAATTTATAAAAGTTTAAAATAAAACAAAGCTGTTGGTGGTTGATCCACTCACTCAGGCACACAGATGGTTAAAGTCAAACAGCTGAACAGATTCAATAATTAGATTAATTCTGTGAGGAAATGTTAAAAACCTGACAGGACGTGAACATCAGTAAAGATGTTTTCTGTTTCAACAGATCGAAGTGGTTCCCTCTGCCTCGGCTCTGATCATCAAAGCTCTGAAGGAGCCCCCTCGTGACAGGAAGAAGGTGAAGAACAGTAAGTGTCTGTCGGACCCGTCAGGGTTCCTGCACATCCTTMAACTCTAAAGGCATTGAATCCATCCATCCAGAAATACCTTAATTAGACTTAAAATGTCTGAAATCAATCTTTTAGTCGTAAACACATTGTAGCTAAAAAGGATGATTGTAATTCATCTCAGATTTTCAAAGTAATTGGTAACATTTATTTAATTTTAAAATAATTTACTGAATGCCTCAGAAGTTTTGTGTTTTTAAAGTAAACATGTTTTGGTTTTGTCCTGATGCATCTCATCTTTTTATTTTTTCCCCCATATTATAAATTTGGTCTTAAATAAATGTCAGGTGGCATTAAGGAGGTGTTACATGTAACTTGTTTGAAGCTGTAGGACCCGGGCCTGTTGGTCCGGTGTGGTCCGGTTCCACATGGCTCACTGTAAATTCATGTCTTTCCAGTTAAGCACAGCGGCAGCGTGACCTTCGATGAGATCGTGGCCATCGCTCGCACCATGAGGCCTCGCTCCATCGCCAGAGAGCTCTCAGGTTGGACTCATTTAACCCTTTGTGTGTTTGGGGTCAGCCTCCCGCCACTAAACCAGTCTCTGTGGCTGAGTAGAGTCCAGTGGAGGCTCAGAGCGACCCGGCTTTAGGAAACAGAACTGCCCACGTGAATGGACGGTTCTGTGCCGATAAGTCCGGAACATTAAACAGTTTTAAATCTCCTCCCTGATGAGCTCTAACCTGTTCTGTTCCTCACCAGGAACCATTAAGGAGATCCTGGGGACGGCCCAGTCTGTGGGCTGCACCATCGATGGACGTCCTCCTCATGATGTCATCGATGACATCAACAGCGGCAAAGTCGAGTGTCCGTCAGACTAAAACGAGTCAAGTTTTCAAATAAAATGTTGACCAAAAACTGAGTCTTTAGTTCATTTATTTGACTAAATCTTCAGGAAGTGTAATTTCAGGCACACAAAGTTCAGTTCTCTGCATCAGCATGGTCACAAAGTCTCATCAGTAAGATGTCTTCTTGTCTCCTCAGCTCTGTTAGCTTTGAGGCTACAAGAAGCAGAGGTCCACTGTCAGGAAATCATGRAGTAAAGATGAGTACAGGCAGGGTGGAGAGACGTTTCAGGACCGATGAGGAACAGGAGGTCAAAGGAAGTGTTAGTTTAGCACAAATTAAAATTCTTATTCTAAAGTAAATTTTTCAATCGTGAATAAAAGTGAGAAACTAAAAGTTAATTAGAATATTTTGCAGCTTTCTTTGTAGGTTTGCAAGAAGGTCCGTGACCAGAGCGAATTCTGTTTGGGGACCCCTCTAGAATGTAATTAAAAGCAGATTATATGTTAAAATGACCTGCCATACATTATACTGAGCGAGCTCGTGTCACTGCTTATTCATCCCATCGGACAAGATTAGAGTTTAGTTATTTTCCTGTTAATGATGTGAAATAACTGAAGTATGAAAGTATTTTGATTTTAGGATCTATTCTAGAGCATAAAGTTCTGTAGTATCAATATTTCAGTATTAATCTGCACATCACTAGTTTGGAGACATGGACAAGTTCAAGTTTAAGATGTTAAGTTTCTCCTTAAAAATTAGGATGAAAATTAGGACAGATCAGAGGGACAGGACTGGTTGAAGGACAGATGGTTTGGACGTGTCCAGAGGGACAAAAGCAGGAACACAGCCCGTATTTATCAAACTACTTAGAATGGATTTTTAGACTTGTGTTGAAAATGTCTTAAATGTCTTTTTTTTTTTTTTGTCGTAGATTTGCTCCTACTCTGACTTAAGTGTAAGTGCCAGTTATCAAAATTCTTAAGTCTAAGAATCACTCTTAACTCTCAAAAGTTCAGACTGCTCCAGAGGACTCTTAGTGGTTCAGAGTTACTGTTAGAGGTCTGAGATGGACTGAAGGCAGATTACAGCTGTCCTCACTTGAGTGTTACTCTCAGTCACAAGATGTGGAAAACTGGTTTAATCAGAAATATACAAAAGAGACGAAGGAAAAAAAACTGCATAGTGTTGGCCTAAAAGTTGGATATTTGTGTGGCTTTTGGAGAAATTATTACGGTAAATATACTGAGTGCAGTTAGGATGGATCAGCTTTGTGGCTCAGTCAGGTGTCGCAAATCAGCTCTAAGACTGACACTTAAGGATTACTCCTACACTACACTTAAAGACTGACACTTAAGGATTACTCCTACACTACACTTAAAGTAAGACTGACACTTAAGAATTTATCCTACACTTCACTACAGTAAGACTAACACTTAAGAATTACTCCTACACTTCACTTAAGACTGACACTTAAGAATTACTCCTTCACTTAAAGTAAGACTGACACTTAAGAATTACTCCTACACTTAAAGTAAGCCTGACACTTAAGAATTACTCCTACACTACACTTAAAGTAAGACTGAGACGCTTGATTTACTCTCAGCTTTTAACTAAATTATTTTACACTTAAGTCCACTCTTAGCAGCATTGAGTAATTCTAAGAAGTTTGATAAATACGGGCCCTGATGTTTTGATGTTAGCTTTAACTTCGGCTGTTTTTGAACATTGATGTTTTGATGTTAGCTTTAACTTYGGCTGTTGTTGAACATTGTTTTAGCTCCTGCAGCCTAAAGCAAAAGGACAGCACTGTTCTGCCCGTCTTTGTCTGTTAGCAAAATATCTAATGAACCACTGGAGTCTTTTATACAAAACGATTTATTCAAAGTTCCCAGTCATGTACAAGTTTATAAAAGTACAAATAATTAAAAAAGACAAAGTGACATGAAGTAATTATTGTACATATTAACTTAAATCTGAATCTTCAGCACCTTCATTGTTTATTTTCTTTTAACACAAAGCTTCAGGTTTTTATTGACTCACCAAATCAGAGGAGCTGTTTCTGCAGCATCTCTTGGTTTATTTGAAGAAAAAGATGTTTGGATGTAACAGAGTTCAGGTGAGGGGGAGGAGCTTCATCACGTCTGTCAGGTGAGGAACAGGTGGTGATGAAGCAGAGCCTCAAGCAGCTGAAGGACTCCGGTCAGCAGTCGTCCTCAGGAGGACCTGGTCCAGAGGAGGTATCAGAGTCCAGAGCTCTAGTTCTCCACCTCCTCCTCTTCTTCCTCAGGCTCCTCCTCCATCCTCTGCTGCTCCTCCTCCTCCTCCTCAGGCTCCTCCTCCTCTCTACACTTGCTGCTGTCAGTGTCGATCTTTTTCTCTTTGTCTTTGCGTTTCTGCTCAGAAACCTCCTTCTTTCCCTTCTGGTCCTTTTTGTAGACTGCAGGAGGAGACGGAGCTCAGCGTCAGTCACGTGCACTCGCATCATTTACATCTTTTATTTCCTTTATTTGACCACGCCCACACTGAGCTGAGACATCGTGACGTGTAAAAGATCAAAACCAGCCTTTCAGCTCAGACGTTTCTACGTTTTTTATTTTCATTGGATAATTAAAGTTATCTAATTTACTGTTGAGGAATATTAAAATACTTTTTTTTATTCCCAGTCTTCTTACTGATGTTTCCAATTAAACTAATTAGCTGCAAAACGCTTCAGCTGCTTCTCATTTATCACTTATTTTACAGCCTTTTGTCTCCCTGTGCTCATATTTTAGATGTACTGCTGACATGAAACTTAAAGTTGTACCACCTTTTTAAATATATAAATATTTAACAGGTGTACTATGTTCCTCTGTGGATCAAATGTGGGTTTATGAAATGTGTAAATCAATATATTCTCTTTGTATTTCCTTTTTACACAATGTCTGAGTTTTAAGTCAGTTTCAAATATTTTTCTGGAATTTTACTCAATAAGAAAGAAAGTATGGAGGACCAAAACTGACATAATTAAAAATAAAAGCAGAAATATGTTAATATTGAGTTGTTTCATTTGAAATTAAATATAAATATATAACGTAATTATTATAAAGTATTAATA